AGAACAGAGGAAAGTGGATATATTAAAAGGGAGATAAGAGGGTGGTAGTGATGGTAAATGGTTGTGCGAGTTGGGTGTTAGTCGCGGATAACCCACCGTTGCTGCTAATGCGTTAGCGAGTTTTTGAAAAAGGATGGGTTGTTTTCAAGCGCTTTATTTTATAGGTTTTATGATGTAAGTTTTTTTCTAGCAATACATTAAGCCTTGTCGCTAGATGGATGTTGTTATTGGTTTGTAATCTGAACATGCCGTATTACCGAAGCGATATGTTCGCGTGGTTCCAATCGAAAGAATGAACCGGGAAGTATGGGTGATTTCGCCATGTTGTTCTGAACTACCTTGGTAACGCAGCATAAACTTACTTGCTTGGCCGGAATCGCTGCCTTTTTTTCAGAATATACCATCATTCTGTTGTTGTTTTTTTCAGTCAAGAGCAGAAAACATCATTAACTTCGTCGGTGATGTTTAGGAGATAATTTTGAGGTAGTCTAATCTGATGTAGTCTAACTAGTGATTTACCCCTTATATAAATTTGGAATCGATCGTTTAAGCTATCAATAGGTTGGTGTTTTCATGCCCAAATGTTTTGTGTAAAAAGGCATGTTAATTTTGAGGTATTGAATGAAATTTGATACCTGATTTTAATCTTATTTTGACCAATCAGAATCAAGTATTATTCAGTGTCATGGTAGAATCATTGATAATTCGTTAGATCAGACACTTTCAAGGAAAACAAAACGTTAAATGTCTGATCTATGCCACTCGTGTTTTATTGCCTTATATAAGATAGCCACACGGTAAATCGCAAAGACCAATGAAGAACGAAGTGTGGTTTATTTCACGACAAAACATTGTTCTATCATGACGTCATTTCTGAAGATTCGAACATGCGCTCGCAACTTAATGACGTCGTAAATTGGAGGGAATTGTCAAGTGAGTTGTTTCCGATTGACGTAGCTTGGCAACGCAGATGAACACAATGGCCTAACGATCGCATCCAAAAGTGGGAGAAATATGACAATCGGTAGAAAAGGTGCAAATAATCCACATGAAAATTGTAAGAATACGAAACTTAACTCCCCTGTACATAAAATGGACTTGTCCGACATTGCCGAGGTCGGATTGTATTCAGGGAGTCATCTTATCTAATATAAGCTGGTACATTTTATTGACATCCGTAAAAAGGCTGTGCAAAATGTTGATATCTCATATAAGAAATAACAACTCGCTGCGCCCCTCGTGGTTTATTCTCACTGCAGTATTTTATTGTACAATAAACAACTCCCACTCGCCGTTTATTTCTCAAATATTTATTGAGTGAGGTATGTCTGGCCCAGTGGTCTAAGGCGCTGTGGAGTTGCGTCCTTTAGTTGCCAGATCCTATGGTCATGGGTTCGAATCTGCCAGCTCTATACCGTGGTACACAGGCTGTGAAACTTTAGTCATGGAAAATGAATCGGTATGTCTCCATTCTGTCTTAATGTGCCTACATTGTCCATACGGTGTCTGTACGTTGTCCATTCATTGTTAATACTCTCATGGGGGGGGGGGGGGGGGGGGGGGGGGGGGGGCGGCGATTCGCTGTGCAGAGTTGCGTCCCCTGGGCGCGCCAGAAACCTATGATTGTCGGTTCGAATCACGGTTCGCCCCGATTATGTTTCTAGGTTTGTCAGCACCATGCCCGTGCTCGTGGGTTTCACCGAAGTGGTAAACGTCTGAGACCTACATCACTTCGGGCATTCCTCCCACATAAAGCTGACACGCCGTGATATAACTGGAATACTGTTAAAAGCGGCGTTAAACCAAACTCACTCACTCACTATACTCTCATGGTCTGACCTTTCGGGAGAGATTCCACCAGTGGGACTGCCATGACATTGTCAACTGAAGAAAACACTTACAGTTACAGTTACAGTTTCCACTGCTTTGACTGTTGTTTCATCTCTGGATGATAGTGATGACCCCAAGACTCATCCATGGTTACAAAAACATCTGGTTCTGCTTCAGAACGACGTAAATGATCCCACGGGAGATGAAGAACCTGACATGAGAAGTATTATTCACTCTTCAAAGAAAGAAACGCATAGTTAAAAAATAAGGATATTTATTAAGCGGATGTAAAAGTATCTACACAGAATATGCGTGAACACAATCAAAGGAAATTAGACACAGTGATCGACAAAAGCATTGTCGTCATTGTCAGCATTAATTCAGTTCAGTCATTGCACATGTGTAGCCACAAGGGGGCGTCATGGTCAGTACCTGGTCACACCACCTCTTGCAGCCATCACTGCTCGACACCTCCTTGGCACAGATTGCACAAGTCGTCGGATTTTTTCCTGTAAGGCGTTGGCGAGTTGTGCCAGTGTGTGGGGACGCTGGTGACGTTGACGGACGCGTCGATCAAGTTCGTCCCACAAATGTTCAATCGGCTTGAGATCAGGCGATTTGGACGGCCATGGAAGGACATTGATGTTCTCATTAACAAGGAAATTAACTGTTGCACGTGCTGTGTGGAGCCGAGCGTTGTCATGTTGGAACAGCTCCCTCTGGCGGTCCAAAGTTTGGAGGAAGTGAAGACGCAGAATATGGTCTATGTATCTGTTTGCTGTAAGACTGCCCTGGACAACCACTAACTGTGATCTACCCGTGTAGGATATGGCTCCCCACACCATGACACTCCCTCCACCAAATCGGTCCACCTGTCGAACGCAGTTCGGCGCAAAACGTTCATGTCGACGTCGGTATAGACGTTGTCTTCCATCCCGTCGTTGAAGAAGAAAACGTGACTCATCGCTGAACCAAACGCGTCGCCAGTTCCTTAGACCCCATGCCTGTAGTCTGTTACATCACCGGACACGTCGTTGACGGTGTAGACGTCGAAAGACAGGTCCAACTTTTGGTCGTCTCGTTCGAATTCCCACTTCCGTCAGACGATTTCTGATGGTTTGGTCGGAAATTCTTCGCATACCAGGCACTTGTCCTGCAGTGCCCGTGCTGTAGCAAATCGATTCCGAAGGTCATGCAACCGGATGTACCGATCCTGAGCAGGGGTGGTCACTCTTCCACTTCTGGGATTATCTTGAGTCGAATAAGTGCGGGTATATCGATCCCATAGTCGAGATATGGTGCTTTGGTGAACGTTGAAGTGTCTTTCAACGGCAGACTGGGACTCCCCTGCTTCCAAACGTCCAATGGCGATATTTCGGTCAGCTGCAGTTAATCATGGCATTTTTCGATCTCCGTTCACGTCAGAAAGTTCGTAATGAACTGATGAATTTTGTACGGTCTTTTATAGTCAGTGTCTCTACTCTTGTTTCCAACACTTTGCACGTGCATTGTGCTGAAAACTTTTTCTGAAAGCAATTTCCGTGCATCCTTTGCATTTTTGTTGATAAACGTTTACAAAAAACATTTTTAGATGTGTTTGCGCGCAATGCACAACAAACATGACACGATTAACGGGAATCAAACATAGGAATTGTCTTTATGGCGATTGCTGGGGAAAAAAATCTAATTGGAATTCTCAAAACACCTATGCGTTTCCTTTTTTAAAGAGTGTATTTAATCCATACCAACTGTTAAAGCTGTACTGCACATTCTTTGAAGTAAGGCTCAGGACTCGTACATTGTATCCAAACATGGACTCGAACCCACGAGAAGCCCACGCTTTAACCACCGACATTGACAATGCATGAGTGAATGATGAGTGAATGTCGACTGTGTAAATAACCAAGTGATTGACATCCTGAGCATTGATCTACGCAATTGGAAAATGATGACATCCATCAACCACTAGACGACATAGACGAGACAAGGAGAGTGACGGACAGAGAGACACTGGGAGAGGGAGAGAGACACAGACAAGACAAGAGGGTGAGAGAGACACATACCCACAGATGACACACTGGAGTGGGTGAGAGACGAGACAAGGAGCGCGCGAGACAGACAGACACACTAGACAAGAGGGACGATAGAGACACACTGTGAGAGATAGAGAGACAAGACAAGAGGGCGGGAGAGAGTCTGGGAGAGATAGACGAGACAAGCAAGGCGAGAGAGAGAAAAACTGGGAGAGACAGACGAGACAAAGAGGACGAGAGAGACACTGGGAAAGGCAGACAGGCTAGACAAGGAGGGCGAGAGAAGAAAAACTGGGAAAGACAGACAGACTAGACAAGGACGGCGAGAGAAGAAAAACTGGGAAAGACAGACAGACTAGACAAGAACGGCGAGGGAAGAAAAACTGGGAAAGACAGACAAACTAGACAAGGACGGCGAGGGAAGAAAAACTGGGAAAGACAGACAGACTAGACAAGGACGGCGAGGGAAGAAAACTGGGAAAGACAGACAGACTAGACAAGGAGGGCGAGAAGAAAAACTGGGAAAGACAGACAGACTAGACAAGGACGGCGAGGGAAGAAAAACTGGGAAAGACAGACAGACTAGACAAGGACGGCGAGGGAAGAAAAACTGGGAAAGACAGACTGACTAGACAAGGAGGGCGAGAAGAAAAACTGGGAAAGACAGACAGACTAGACAAGGACGGCGAGAAGGACACTGGTAAAGACACATAGACGAGACACGGAGGGCGAGAGGGACACACTGGGGTAGATAGATAGACGAGACAAGGAGGGTGAGAGAGAGAGACAGACGGAGAGACAAGGAGGTCGAGAGAGACACATTGGGATAGATAGATAGACGAGACAAGGAGGATGAGAGAGAGAGACAGACAGACGAGACAAGGAGGACGAGAGAGACACTGGGAGAGACAGACAGACGAGACAAGGAGGACGAGAGCGACACTGGTAAAGGCAGACGGACGAGAAAAGGAGGACGAGAGAGACAAACTGGGATAGATAGATAGACGGGACAAGGGGGTGAGAGACACATTGGGAGAGACAGACAGACGAGACAAGGAGGGTGAGAGAGAGACACACACAGGGAGAGACGACAGACGAGACAAGGAGGTCGAGAGAGACGCTGGGAGAGACAGACAGATGAGACAAGGAGGACGAGAGACACACTGGGGGAAACGACAGACGAGACAAGGAGGACGAGAGACACTGGGAAAGACACGGACGAGACAAGGACGACGAGAGAGACACTGGGAAAGGCAGACAGACGAGACAAGGAGGACGAGAGACACTGGGAAAGGCAGACAGACGAAACAAGGAGGACGAGAGAGACACTGGGGGAAACGACAGACGAGACAAGGAGGACGAGAGACACTGGGAAAGACACGGACGAGACAAGAAGGACGAGAGAGACACTGGGAAAGGCAGACAGACGAGACAAGGAGGACGAGAGAGACACTGGGAAAGGCAGACAGACGAGACAAGGAGGACGAGAGACACTGGGAAAGACACGGACGAAACAAGGAGGACGAGAGAGACACTGGGAAAGACACGGACGAAACAAGGAGGACGAGAGACACTGGGAAAGACACGGACGAAACAAGGAGGACGAGAGACACTGGGAAAGACACGGACGAAACAAGGAGGACGAGAGACACTGGGAAAACGCAGACAGACGAGACAAGGAGGACGAGAGACACTGGGAAAGACACGGACGAAACAAGGAGGACGAGAGAGACACTGGGAAAGGCAGACGAGACAAGGAGGACGAGAGACACTGGGAAAGACACGGACGAGACAAGGAGGACAAGAGACACTGGGAAAGACACGGACGAGACAAGGAGGACGAGAGAGACACTGGGAAAGGCAGACAGACGAGACAAGGAGGACGAGAGAGACACTGGGGGAAACGACAGACGAGACAAGGAGGACGAGAGACACTGGGAAAGACACGGACGAGACAAGGAGGACGAGAGAGACACTGGGAGAGACGACAGACAGGACAAGGAGGGTGAGAGAGACACTGCATAGGAGAGACAGACAGACGAGACAAGGAGGGTGAGAAAGAGAAAAAGAATTAGAGAGAAAGGGTGAGAGAAACAGGCGAGACAAGGAGGGCGAGAGAGAGGCAGACAAACGAGACAGGGGGACGAGAGGGAGAGACAATGATAGCGTGAGAGAGACATTGAGACAGAAATAAGAACAGTGGAAAAGCTGGTGACCTTCCTCAACTGTAACGATCTCTCCACAACTTTCGGCGTGAGACGATGTGCATCATGGATGAGCAGGAAGACGAGTCTTGACCGCTAGCAGATTCTTGGAACGCGGTATTGATGACACGGGGAAATCGCTACCTAATCCCACAGACGCATAAATTCACTCTCATCAGGCCTATGACAAATTCGCATGTCAGGCCAGGCACAATATTGATAGAAATGGCTATTCTATCGTCATTGGTTCAGAACGAACTGTGGTGAAGGCCAAGTGATCTAAATTGAGTAATGACATTGATGAATTGCACTAGCTTTTAGACATTGTTAGCCTAGAAACCACTTTACCCAGGACATCTGTTAAGGGAAATTAATTACCCCGTGACAGAGCCATTCCAAGATGGCCGCTAGGTCCGACATCTGACCTCGCATCACACTCCACTGCGCAGACTCAAAGGAATCGTGATTTGCATAAGCATTTTCCATTACATGTTTGATAGACTCGCCTCCCTCCCGCCGGTTTTAATTTAAATGTTATTACTGATTGTTCGTGTTCATGGGGTGAGGGGGGAAAAGAACAAGTCTTGGGTCAAAGATATGAAGCGCGATGCTTCTATTTAAAGATAACGTAAATTATGTTTTATTTGTATTTGCGATTAAAAGTGACAGGATGAGTTATGTCTCTGCGTTCACTTATTATTGGGAGGATTCATGTCAAAGGAAACAGTATTGCCTGCACGACTAATCAAATATGCTGAGGACTTGAGATGGATGGACACCATCTCCCCGTGAGGTGCTGTTAACTATGTACAACCAGCATGAATCTGTCGGTAAATGTGAAGTGAATGTTCTTTTATGGCGCAGTAACTAATATTGCATCCACATAAACTGCCGGGCATACATGGAAGTATGCATGTTTGATTTTGTATAGAAATGAAACAGACAAGAAATCGTTCGATGATTATTCGATGATGATGTATTAGAGGCGGGTATCACAGTTGTGTTTGCGTTTGCAGCGTTTCGGCGACTGTTTTCAGTCTAGTAATATGTGATACCATTTGTTATTGTTTTCGATTCACCAATGTGTGAAGCCCATTTCTGGTGTCCCCCGCAGCGAAATTAATGGAATATTGTTAAAAGCGGCTTAAAACCATACTCACTCGCTCATTCAATCGGAAACAATATTTACTGAATCGTTTTCTTGGTCAAGGCCAATGTTTCTTCTAGTTTCTATCATTAAGTGCGGACATCTACATATACATCTTCACTTCCTGAGGGCTTGATTTAAGACTTTGGAGTGAGTGAGTATGGTTTTACGCCACTTTTAGCAATATTCCATCAATGGGGACACCAGAAATTGGCTTAACATATTGTACCCATGTCGGGAATCGCACCCGGGTCTTCGGCGTGACGAGCGAACGCTTTAACCACTAAGCTACCCGACCGCCCCTTCAGCGTGACGAGCGAACGCTTTAACCACTAGGCTACCCGACCGCCCTAAAACTTTGTAGTCAATCGGACAAAAATAAGTTTGTCAATATAGAATGGAGATAAGAGGCACTTGATAATCAAGGTTTCCATTGTACCCACACAATCCACAATAGTCAGCTATCCGATGACGTCAGTCAGTATAGGATGTGTACGGTTCTAAAGGATGTTTTGGACCATGTCTGCATTGTCACTAGTTTTGTCCTGGGTTGTTTGAGTTGTGTAGTTGTTGTTTCCTGTCATCAGTTTCGGTGAACCGTGAAAAGAAAACTTGATTCATAAGCGGGACAAGATGAGTTATACTTGTTTAGGCGACAATTTTTAATTTAATTTGAGAAATTCAGCTAAAGATTTTAAAAAATGGAACGAAAGTGAAGGGTGATTGTTACTCATATTGCCGTAAGATATACCTGTATATACATAGAATTAATACGACTTACGACATTTGAAAAGTTCACCACACAACTCTTCGGCAAATTCCGCTCTCGTCGGCTATAGCTATCTATTCCCTGTGGGCGAGTTTATTCGCCTCAAACTCATGACGTCATCGCGCTTTCAGTTGGGACTTCATTGACGTCATGAAACTGATAGAAAACTTTGAAAACAATTTTTTTCAACTTGTCTAGTTTACGACAAACATGCTAAACATTTCGATCAGCCGACGAGCACCCAACGACATCAACACTCTCAGTCCGTACATCTGCAGGTCACTAATAGGTTTGGTTTTTTTATGATATTGTTAAAGACGTTCATATAATTCAGTCATTAGTGAATGGAGACTCGTGTCAACCTGAATGTCTGGCGAGGAGGCGAGATGACGCAGTGACAGTGGCACTCACTCACTCACTCACTCACTCACTCGTGCATGCAATAATTCACTCTCGTATTGAATCAATCAAGTCCGCACACACGAAAAGTTAATGAAAGAACGCACGTAGATACAAGGAATCTCACTGAGTGTCTTTTAATATATCAACACAAGTTGATAAAAGTGGAAAAACTCTGAGGCTTGTCGAGGAGTTTTCCCACTTTTAACAACGAGTGTTGATATATTTGATGTCAAAAGACACAAGGGTGAGATTTTATTTATCATCCATCATCATTCTTCCAACTTTTTCAGTTTGTAGACATTCATATGCAGTGTCTAAATGTGAAAAATACTGCTAACAGCTTCAGTAGCAGAGCCATTAGTGATGTCATTTGATTGTGACGTCATGTAACAATGTCGTCACAATGGTCTGCAAAGCATTGTGATGCAATTTCATTGCAGCGATATCTACAATGTAGATATCGCTTGATCTCACCCCAAGCGATATCTCCTGTGAGAGCAAGTTTGGGATGATAAATGCGCAATCACACACAATCACTCGCCTGTCAAATCACATATACTTCATAACACACTTAGGCACGTACCTGTACGCTCGACGTCGCACTTACACAATTCCCCATGTACTCAGTCTCCCATACGCACCCACGCAAACCTACATAAACGCACACGCACACGCACACGCACACGCACACACGTATCCACTGTTACAACAGTGTTGAGTACAAAGGCCACTTTATTTGTTGAATGGCTGAGTTTCAACTCTGAGTTTCAAGGGGGCACGGGTGGCCCAGCCGTCTAAGGTGCCGCGATTGCAGAGTTGCGTCCCATGGGCACGCCAGAAACCTATGATTGTGGCTTCGAATCCCGGTTCGCCCTGATTATGTTTCTAGGTTTGTCAGCACCATACCCGTGCTCGTGGGTTTCAATGAAGTGATAAACATCCGTGACCTGCATCACTTCGGGCTTTCCTCCCACATTAAGCTGACACGCCGCGATATAAGTGTAATACTGTTAAAAACGGCGTTAAACCCAACTCACTCACTCACTCACGCATTGAGCTTCATGGCTCTAACCGGGGACCTTTTTTAACCTGGAATTCCCAGGGTTTTTTCCTACTTAATATTGATATCTGACGCCAACAAGTTATTGGCATTGTGACGTCATTACAGTTTTATTAATGTCATACTTTAATGAAAACGTGTCATTGTAGAAGTGTAGTATAAATGACGTTGTTAATTCCAGTTTCACCTAACGCAAAATCAACTCTCATGACATGGTATAATGTCCTGTGTTAAACATCATGGGCTACCTTGATTTGTCTAAATGAATAATTACGTATGATATATTACACCTAATAACATGATGCATGAAATATAATAATGTGGCAAGGAATGATCCATTCAAGTCAATAACACTGACCTGAAAAAGAATGCAAAAATAATTGGATAAATACTGCTTGAGACGCCCAACGCTAACACCGTATTCGTGCGTGCGTGATTCCCGTGCAACCTTTCGAGTTGAGTTGATTGGTTCAACTTTGTCATATGGCCCTGTGACGCAGGGGTAGCATTATGCAGATGGCTGTTACAATGAATGCTCGTTCAACCCGTGACGAACAGGTCTGGTTGTTGATGAAATATAGTGATAGCTAAATAGACAGATTTTTTATTCATGCACCAATTGTCTTTAAATGTAATATCCAGTTATGTATGACTGTTAAATAATCTCATACCAACTTTGACTGGAGTAGGTCCAATAGTTTTTCAGATATTGTAGTAAACGTCGGTACCTTAAATTAACTGCCAGACTATACAAGGGACCAGAGAAATCAGTTCGTTATATCCGTTGTTCGTTTTCGCTCGGAAACGTACACCATCTTGGATAAAACAAAATACAATACACGTGTTGACTTGTATTAGCAGTGATCACTTCAATAACATTCAATTGATAACATTTCATAACATACATTTAATAACATTAAATTCATAACATTTTCCGAACAGTGTTATAAAATACATGTACAAAATGTAAACATATTTATCATGTTACGATTAACATACGGGGAGATGTGTAGTCGGTGATTTGGCTCTGGCCTCGTTTCTCTGACTGCATTCGTGAAACCGCATAGTTCAGATCAGCCATACTGTCAAATTACCGTCACCGTTGTGCCGTGTGACAACACTGGTTCCGAACACACATCCGTGAAGCCTTTACCCTTTACCTTAATCTTATTAATACATTATCGTTTCAGTGGGATTAAAGATAATTCTTCGGGTGGAACAAGCCAAGTTAGAGCTGTATTCCTGAACAAATCAACTTCTTACACCATGCCATGGCGTCAGATTACAATCAGCGTGTGTGAAGAAGTTCGATTTAACGCCGCTTTGAACAGTATTTAATGTACAGTAAACTACGGTTATAACAAATACGCTTATAACGAACTTACGGATATAACGAACTTACTGTTTTGGTCCCCACTATTTGCTGTAGTTATGCTGTATATA